CGTTCTTCTTCCTCCTCCCCTTAGTGCCTTGCAAGGTTAGTTTTATTAAGTTTTTTTGTTTTACTTTTCCTTAAGTGTTAAAGAGACGTAACCTGCAAGCAAAAAAAAAAGACAACAGGAAAGAAACGGAGAGAGAGCTAGACAGTAGAAGGCATCTCCTGTGCGCATTGCATTCCAACTCGGCGGCCTTCTTGACGTGTACGTACTCCGCACGACAAACGGCGGCCAGCTGGTCGTTGTTGCGACTAACTCTCCCACTCTCGCGCTTGCCGCGTAGGCAATGGAGCAAGCAGCAAACAGAACATTAGCGTGTGACATTTCAAGGCAAATTACGTGCTGCCTCCACGTTAGTATACATCAAAGGAGTAAACCCCCAACCCGGGTCGCTGGTACCGCATGGCCTCCACAAAGACTACCATTGGATCGTGCGAGAGGGCGGAGAGTGGCATGGACAGAGGCACCTCTCCCGGCCTCTGCTTTCTCCGACCCTGATGCCGCCCCTGGCGATCCCTACTCTCTCCCAGGGCGTACGGCTTCACCGCGCCGAGGGTGGCGTCAAAGAGCACCTTCCGCTGCCGTAACTCCATCGAAGTCTCAGCATTTGCCAGCGCCTTTGCGCTGGGGTACACCTCGTCCAGCAACCGCCTCGGGTCTGCGTCCGGTACGCGCAGAACGAACTGTGTTGGCGGCGTCAGCTGCGGCGCAAATACGTCGTAGCAGGGACGTTTTCCGGCCTGCTCCTCCGCATGCTGCCGCGCCACCTCCTCGAGGTACCGAAACGGACTCCCTCCTGTCTTCTCAGCAACCTCTAGTCTGCCCCTAAATTTAGCTGGCACCTTGTAGCGCCGAACGGCGCCGTTAATGTATGGCGTCCAGCGTTTACTCAAGGAGATCTTGACCTTTTCGGGCAGCTCCGGCGAGGGCGGCAGTGGCTCGTGCGGCTGCTTGGGTTCACCGCCCTGCGTTGGAGGGACAAAGTCCCTCTTCCACGCCGAGGGCACCTCCTCCCCACCGTCAACGCCGACGTCAAGCAGAGGCACGGGGACGCCGGATGCATGGAGCCACGGAAGCGGCTGTTGCTGTTGCTCCGTACTTGCTGTCAATGAGGAAAGGTGCTGCGGGGAATTGCTTCGCTTGCTGCCGGCAGACTCAACCCGCATCAGACTCGGCAAGCACTGCCGCCTCGCAGAGGCGGCCCAGCAACCCGAGACAATTTCATTGTATTGCCCACTGCTATAGAAGTTCTTTGCAGACTCCTCAAGTGAAGCCGCGCCGGAGTCCTGCCCTTCCATCACCGTCCCCTCTATTGAGGGAAGAAGGGAGGCAAGAAGAAGATGGAGCGGCGAAAGAGGCATACGCAGGAGCAATTGCGCCACATTGCATGAAGTCAAGCCGGACTTATACAAACACGCATACACACACACACATACACATACACACATAGCTGTATTAGATGGAGAATAGCAAGACAAGCACGCACACACACACACGCATGTAAATATAGAGAGAGAAAGATATAAAGCTTTTGTTCCCCTGTACTCATCGCATACGCCTCCGTAACCAAAAAAAAAGTACAAGGCAAATAAATTTAAAAAACAAAAACAAAAACAAAAACAAAAAGAAAGTGCGGAATAAAAACAGTGAAATATGGAATCCTTTGTGGAAGGGAGATAGATGCGGGGTAATAAACGGCTCAACACCCTCTGGCAACGACGGAGCGTGAGGGGGTTAGGACTGGGAGAGTAAATAAGAGGACGTTCTGCTTGGATGGGTGGAGGCAGAATAAGCTCGCGTCGGCAGCACACTATACGGTGCCGCGGAATCAATCAAGTAGATGGCTTCTCCTTACTTTTCCCTTTTTAATGTTCCTGCCTCTTTCCGTCGGTTTACCGCTTCCCTCTCGTGTGGTCCCCAAGCGCCCACCTCCTCCACACACGGCGTCCCTCCCACCCCCACAGAGCTGGCACCTCTGCAGGCACAGAGAAGCAAATGCGTCAGCCGTTAACAGCCGCGGCCCCATGTGCTCGGGAGGCCTAAATGTAAACACCCCGGGCACGCCTGCGAAACTGACCAGAACCTCCGCTCAGTCCAAATACCGTCATTCCCCCTCTCTATTTTTCAAGCAGACTCAAATCCCTCGAAGAAGTAAATGATAAACTTCTTTTTTTTTGTTGCTTCGCGTGTCTGTCCTTTTTCTCTTTTTTTCTTCCTTTTTTTTGTCGGTTCGCACAGGCAACAAACACGCCTGCGTGTGCTGGTGATTCCCAAGTATTCTGTTTACAACATAACATAAGGCACGTATATATACATACATATACATACATATATATACATATATATACGTGTTATTACATACACACATATGTAGAGGTATGTTCGAAGTGAGGGAGGGGGAAAACAAACAAACAAACAAACAAACAAACATATTATATATATATATATAAAGAAAGAAAGAGAGAAGGAAACCCCCACGCGCACACAGATAAAAAAAGAATATATATATATATATATATATATATATGTCTGTCATTCTTCATCCCCTCCTCATTCTTCTTACCGCCTTTGCCGCCTCATTTATGCAGGCCCGTTTTACGCGCCCCGGCGCTCTTATTCTTGTTGCTTCTCTTAATTTCCGCTCGCCCACCCCATTTCTCCGTTCCCTTCTTCTTCTTCTTCTTTTTATTTGTACTCCTTTAATTTCCTGCGCCTCGCCGCAAAGGCCCTCGTTGCCTTCCCATTCACATGCCCCACCGACGCCCCCCACCGCCCTCTCGCTCGCTGCTGCCGCCCTCCCGCACTGCAACGGCGGGGGTCGCGCGGTGGGGGGTTCGAACGCACACGCACACAAAAGAAGAAACAAAAAAAAAGAGGAAGTAAAACAAAAAAAAACACTCCAAACGAAATAACAAAAAAAAAAGTTAGTGAGAGCCACGCACTTCCATGCGGCGAAGAAGCAGAGCGTCAAAGGAAAAAAAAAAATCAATGAAATACGGGATGAGGATGAGGAGGGAGGAAAAAAAAGGAAAAAAACGGAAGAGGGAATATGACTTCTCACAGCGACCCTTCCCCGTCCCGCCCCCTCTCCTCGCTCAGTTCTGAAGCATGGTGCGTGTTAGTTGCATGGCCACATCCTTCGACGGCGTGTTCAACGGCAGTGCTAGTGTGGGCGGCAGGTTGTAGTCTAAGAACGGCTCTGGTGGGCGGTACTTCGGGGGCAATGCCTTGACGTTCGATGAGGACAACTGAAACGGCAGTTGGGTTGGTACACCTACCATAAACGACGCCGGTGGCTTGGCCTTCGCCCCGTGTGACTGTCTACTATTGCCCGAACTAAGCCCTAACATGAGCGGCGAGGGTGACAAGGCCCCACCATTCACCTGAACATTACCGGTTGGGTTGCTGTTCATTGCTAGAGGGAGTGTCTTCTGCGCGTTGTGAACGTTGGGGTTGAGGATGTACCCGTAGCCGTTCACATCAAGGTGCCGCTCGTCCGGTAGCTCGTGGAGGTATTGGCACTGCGCCCCACGGAGACACCCCCCGTTGAGGAAGTACTTACATAACTCCTGCGACCGGTCGTGATTGACGATCGCCGGCATCAGGCTGACAGCGTTGCTGCCGAGGCCATTCACACCACCACTTCCGCTTTGCACGAGCAGCGACGGGGAGGCGACAGTGACGGCGGAAGAGGACAAAAAGGCGTAACTATTGCTGCTAGGAATTGACGCGCCGCCTGCGGTTGTGGCAGCCGCTGCGACGGTGGAAGAAAGCTGTGTCGCGGTGGCGCCACCACCCATCCCTGTTGACGCACGGCTGGCCGCATTTGCAGCCCCGCCTGAAGTCCCCGTGGTGGAGCCGCCAAGCAGGCCTGTTCCCCAGAGACCAGGATCCTTTGGCATCATGATCAGGGAGTCGCACTCAGCTCAGGGACTATATATATATATGTGCAGCTGGGCGCAATCAACGTGTAGAGTTTGCCCTCTCTCTTGCAATCCCCCGGCAGCGCTCTCCGTTTGCGAGCGTGGCAGCAACGCAAGGAGACAAACAAAAAAAAAATTACTAAAAAAAACCTTCAGCTATCCGCCACGTCCTACTCTCTCTCTCGCTCCCCTTGATTTTGCGGTGCTGTTGTGGTTGCTGCTTGGCTTTTCGACCTTTTTTTTTTCCTCGCGCCCTCTTGTTTTTGCTTTAATGCCTTAAATATTTTTTTCTTAGTGCTGCCTTTAGTATGACTTGGCGTCGTCTGTGTTTGTTTTGCAGCAGCTTCTCTTCGGCGGCAGTTGCGTCCCCACGACCCTGCGCCAACCGCTTCGGTTTCTCGGTGAAGCAAAAACAACTGCGCGGCCGCGGCAAACGCGAAAGGCAAAAACAAAAACAAAAGGGGGAGGAGAAAAGCAAAAAATATATATATAAATAAAAACAATGAGAGAAACTCCGCGTCAAAAAAAACGGGGAGAGGCGCGTGGAAGCAGCGGCGGGAGGTGGCGGTGATGAGAAGAGAAACGAACAAATAAATACCAAGTCAATTCATACACGCCGCAGAAGCAACGCGTGGCTAAAAAAAGCGGGGCTGAAAGGCGGGCGCAGAACCCTTCTTCCCCCGGCCTCACGCCTCATGCGCTTCACTTCGCCTCCCTGGGCCTCGGCCGCGGCCCCTCAGACACCGCGCTGCTTCTCCTGAGCGCGGCGAACATTGATGGAGCGCAGGTACGCCATCATGGGCAGCAGCACGACGACAAAGAGCATTGTCACGGCACCAATGCCACGGCTCTTGCAGCGCACGCAGGTGCACTCAAAGCCCCATCGCTTCTTCATCGCCAACGCCAGCCGCGACAAGGGCAGGGTGTTTCCAGGCATGTAGTTGACAAACAGCTCCTCTCCCTCCCGCACCGGGCGCACCGTTCGCGCACTCAGGAAGAACCGACCCTTCAAACTATTGTACGTAATCGTCACCTCCACGTTAGGCTCACACTGGTGGTTGAAGTACTGCGCCTCCGGGAAGAGGCAGATGCCGCGTCTCCCGTTGTATTCAACGTCGTAGCGATTAAACTCAATGATGAGTGGAAGTTTTTGCAAGTCATAGGAGGAGAACTCGCCGCTAAGGAGATAATTGGCCCCATTCTTAAGAACACCCTCCGGACCCGGGGCCCGCACGTCTTCCACGAACTCAAAGACATCCTTCTCTCGCGTAAAATATGAGAAACCGCCGGACATAAGTGTCATGATCCGGTGTTTGATGTACAGCTTCTCTTCTGGGGACCCAAGCACAAGCTTTTTAAACACCTCCTTTGTGAGGATCAACACCTGCTCGCGAAGGCTTTGTTGTTCGTTCTCGCCAATGTACATGGCGTAGGCAGGGAGGTTCATGATCTCGCGTCCGTACCCTATCTCACGGCGCGCAAACACCCCACGCGCGTAGGCACCACCGATATTGGCGTTCATGTCAATCTTCACGTCGTCCGTCACGAAGCCGCCTTTGGGGGACTCAATCGTCCCCTGAACAGGGGAGACGCGCGCAAAGGAGCGCGCCCCCGTCGCTATGGCAGGAACCACCATCGATGCCCCAACGGTGCAGCGGAACGGCATCCGTAGAAGGGCGTGGTGGTGGCCGCGCGTGAGGGGCAGGCGAAGCAAAAAATTGCTCCGGCCCACAAGGCTCATCCGGCGGGGACGGAACGGCTGGCTGTTCGTCAAATACCTGCCAGGAGCCCCGCGTCCCGACGCGCAACAAGAGAAAAAAAAACGGGGAGAGGGCAGCGAAGAGGAGGCAAGGCAAGTGCAAAGAGCCAGAGGAAAAAGAAAAAAAAAGACGCACGCACACGCACACCGACAGAGGTACAGAGAGAATCAGAGAGCAGAAGGAAGGGAAAAAAAGCATTGCACAGATACACGCTAACACCAAGCAGAGTCACAGAGACCCGGTTACCCGCCACAATACTCTACCAGACAAAACGTAGTATAACCCGACGTGTTTCATCTTTGGGTGCGCCTTTTTTTTCCTTTTTTTTTTCTTCACTTGTCGTTGTCATTGTTATTTTTGCGTGTTTTTTTTAGTGTTTTTGTCTTTGGTTGTGTGTGTCCGCGTTCTCGCTGTTATCAGTTAGGAGGAGAGGAGGAGGTTGAGTACATACGAGGAGGGCTCCGCCTCAAGAGGGACGCAGAAACACAACAGTGTTGTGCTCGACGACACACATTGCCATTGGCCTCTCCTTCGGTCTAATAAAGTAGTTGGCACTGTCGGTACCACGACCGCTGCTGGTGCTGCTGCGGGAGGCCTTGCCGTCTCCCGCCACTGCGGCTTGGTGTTTATCGCCCGTCTGCTGAACAGCCCTCCCTCCTCTCGGGGGAAAAAGTCGCTGGAGCGGGCGATGATAAAGGAGTTCCATAGTGACCGTGTCGAGAGCAAGGAGCGCGCCACTCTGCAGAAGCACAGCCAAAGTATAAGGAATAAAATTGTCGAACAGTGCAAGATCGGCTACAGGGATGTCCTCGCTGCAGTACGTGTGATGCCCCGGGCGCAGCGTAAACTCCCCTCCCGTCTCTGTACGGCCCTTCGTTGTCTCGAGCCTCGCGACTTTCAGCAGTGGCCCCTCCTCATCCGCGGCCCCGCAGTGCTGCTGTGGGTCATGAACAGTAAAGACCATGACGATGTTTCCGTCCAGGACCATGGCTAGAAGACCCGCCTGCTGCGCTGCGAAGACGCGCCCACTACTCCCTTTGCTCTGGGCGCCTGGGGCGGCGGCCGCGACCATCGACACCCGCCCGGCCACTTCCTCCGCCGGGGTGGAGAAGATGGAGGTGTGCGCCACGGTTTCGAGCTTGGCATCGAGGAGCGACACTGTGCCGTCCGACCACGCCGTTAGCAGAGTACTATCCTCGTCATCCCACCAGCCGACGTGTTTTAGCCCCGCCGAGGCGCTACGACTCGGGGCCCGCACGCTCGTCCAGGAGCTCTCCACGGCGTACGTCTCCAGTGCCTCACCCTCCTGCCACTTCAGCACGCAAAACAGCGTCACGTACTCGACACTCTCGCCTGCGAGAGCAAAGCTGCTCGGCGCCGTGGCGGCTTTACTGCACGGGACCCGCGCGGAAACCACGGCGACAACTCGCCTCCCCTTTGGGCTGAAGCGGACGTACGCCTTTTCCCACGTTCCCTTGCCAGAACCGGCGTCGTCGGAGGGCAGCTCTACAGCCTTGTGCACCGCCCCCGTCCGGACGCCGGCAGAGCGCGTGTGACTGGACGCGTCGGGTTCGACGGTGAAGAGGCACAGCCAGCCCTCCGCTGCGGCACACACAAGCAACGAAAACTCATCTCCCTCCGGTGTCGTGCCAGACGCCGCTGGCTCCTTTTTCCCCCGCTGCGGGAGGAGGACAGAGTCGATGGCCGCCAGCCTTTCTCGCCGGGAATCGTGCTGTCGCGAGGCATCCCTCCTCTGCGCGTGGTCGTCGCTGCGATTTCGTCGCGACGAGTCGCCGTCAAAGAGGTACATCTTCATGAAGTTTGTGGTGTTGAGGATGCACAGGGCACCGCCAGAGAGGGCGCAAAAAAGATACGTCGAAAGCGCCGTCGAGAGGGCGGGCGCTGCTCCGCCGGCGCGGTGGCCGCGCGCCCAGCAACAGTCCACCACTGCCATGCTGGACGACGCGGACGACGACGTCACACGTCGTTGGGCATCGCCACGGAAATTCCGCTGCAACGAGGTTTTGGCGAGGTGCTGCCGCTGCACATGATCCTCGGCGGTCAACTCCCGCCTCCAGTCATCGATCACGAACAGGTTGCTACCCATATTAACTTTTTTCCCCTAAAACATTGGCGATTGCAGGCCACGTACCGTGAACCGCGCGGAGGACAAAAAGGCAAAGGCACTCGCACAGGCGTAGCTCCACGCATGCATTGTAACTGGGTGCCTGCACAACAGCTAACAACAGTAGCGTCAAACAGAGGGAGGGAAGCAGCCGCACGTCGCGGCGGTCAGTATCGCAATCCATAATGAGCAGCACACCCAAGGCTGCCTCGGGGTACTACTCCTCCTCTTCCACCGCATCTGGAATTGGTTCCCAGCCGGAGGGCGGCTTCTTTGCTCCAGAGGTGCAAATTACCTTGAATCGGTTGCCCGAGAGCTTCCTGTCGTTGCGCTGGGCCTTGTTGATGTCCTTGTGCATCCTATAAGTCGACGGCAGTGAGGTCCCATGCACGGTCATGTCGTAGAGGTACTTTCCATACATCGCGTTATCCTCGTTAGGGATATCACGTCGGGCAAATAATTCGTAGTGTGTGTTGTTCGGCAACCGCTTCTTCATGATGTAGTCCGGCAGGTTCTGCCCGTACCCCGGACGCATCTCCCGCATTGGGTACCCCGTAAAAGTCTTGAACTCGGGCGACATGGAGCGTTCGTCCTCCACCTGCCACGCCCCCGGCGCCTTCTCCTCGATGTACTCCTGAAAAATACGGGCCCGCGCCAGCCGCAGGTCCCAGCGCTGGGCACACGGCACAGGGAGGGTGCCGGGGTGCGTGTAGCCAACGCGGTGCACGCCGAGGCGAAGCGGCACGCCACGCAGAGCCATGTCGGGCGCTAACTTCCTCCCTTCCCCCTCTCCTCGCTCGATGCAGACGCCCTCCGCTGCCACGGGCGCGGGCGAGAGAGAGGGCGCGCGCGACGCAGGCAACAAACACGCAAAAAGAGATGGGCGACAAGCAGAACGAAAAAAAAAAGTCACGCGCCCAACGCGGAGACGAGAGTCAGCGCCACGCCACCGCGCCGGCTGTGGACGTCCCCGCCAAGGGGGCGAAAGCGGGGAGAAGCAACGACCCCAGCGAAGTAAAATGAAAACATCAAAACAAAGAGCGAGGGAGGAAATAAAAAAAGACGTCCTCTCAAAACGAAGTCGGCGGCGGGCCCCGGAAAGTAAACCGCATGCATCGTAGTCTCCCTCCTGCCCTCCCCTCCCCAGCATCACTGTCTTCCATCGTCTCTTCTCCCTGCAGTCCTTTTTCCCATTTTTTTCGTCCCATCCTTCACTTCCCACTACTGCGGCTCAGAAGGCTTCGGAATCATGTCGCTTGGCACATGCCGAAAAACATGATCGGACTTGTCGCACACCCACGCCACCTCCACTTCGTACAACTTATCCTTTGATTTGTCGTGCACCTCGTGGAGGATGTTGGTGAGCCGCACCACCGCCTCGTCGCAGGTGAGTGACTCAAAATCCAGTTTTTCTAGCTCCGTCTTAGCCACCGTCTTCCCCTTCCCCAGTGCTATGCCGTGGTAGCCGGCTACTGTCCCGCTCGGGTCAGAGACAAAAAGTTGTGGGCCGTCGTCGGCGTACGATGCGATGATAACAGAGCAACCGAAGGGGCGGTACGCGTAGTGGGTGGTGTAAACGTGCATAAACTCGCCAATGCGGGCCGCAAGCACGGCCCCTGGAATGGGGGTGGCGAATACCTCACGGCTGTTCTCCGCCTCTGCACGCGCTCGCGTGACCACGGCGCGTCCGTCGGGAAGCATGCCACAGATGCAGACACCGGCCTGGCGGTCTACGGCGTGTATGCGGTCATTCGACCTCGCCTCCAGCATACGACTGGTGAGAATCTTTTCTACCGCGACCACAACACCGTCCTTGCAGCACGCAGCAACGGCTGTGCTTCCGTTGTCGACGGCCTTGCAGGCGTATTCGACCTGAAAGACACGGCCATCCGCGGAGAAGATATCCGTTGACTGGTCGTGCTCGGTGCCAGCCATTTCTGAAGGGGGTCTTTTTCTTTTCTTTTTCTTTTTTGTTTTCTTTTTCTCTTCTCCCCCTGTTTGCTCTTCTTCTTCGTCTTAAGCCTGTTCTTCGTGTTGTTGCTCTCTGCTTCGATGCCGCTTGTGGGACTCACTGCAATGAAACCTGCAAAAGCAAAAAAAAAAAAGCAAAACCCAAAAACAGGGACCCCCCAAAAAAAAAGGAAAGAAAAGCCAAGGAGGAATCCTGCGCACATGGCGGCGGTGGTGGTGATGGGTCGGGGTGAGAGGAAATAACGAATAAAATAAAAATGAGGCGAAGCAAAACTACACACTGAAGGCGCGGCACGCCGTCTCTTATAGCGTGCCCCGGGGCGACAACACAACACAACACAACACAAACAAGGCAAAGACGCCCTCCCCCCCGTGACGCCGTCAACGGCAGGCTCTGGCGCAACCCGAAACTCGCCTCTTCCGCACAACATTCCCTCCTTCGCTACAACGTCACCGTCAGCGTCATCTTCGCCTGGCGGACCAGAGAGCTGCGACAAGCGCCGCCGCCGCCGCCAGTGCGACGGTTGCACCCACAGCTCGATATGACCGCCGCCAGCCATCCGTCTGGTGGCGCACCCCCTTCCCCTTTGCCGTCCCTCTTGACCCCACAGCCTTGCACCTCGCCAGATTCAGCCGCAGTGTCTGGCCCTGCCCCTCACTCGGATCCTTCCAGGATGCCCCTGCTTGCGGTGGCGACGGAAGCTTGTCCTGCCAGTTTCCACCCGTTGCAAAGAGATCCGCAAGACGCTCGTGAAGATTGGCATTGGCGTCCGGCGCGCCTGTTGTCATGAGTGTGTGGGAGTACAGGCAGAGGTCCCCGTTAGGGCACATCCCCAACAAATGGGCAACGCAGTAATACGTCTTCTTATGCTTGGCCCGAATGATGTGCTGCAGACGGTGTCGCAGCCGCGCCAACTCCGCAGGTTTTGCGATTTCCACCGCACCGGCGTTCGCCTCAAAATTGCTTTGATTGAACTGACAGGCCACGTCTATTTCATCCAACACCTCCTCGGCTATGAGCGTGTCATCGAGAACAATGGTGCGCACGTATGGGTTGACGTGCGCCAAAGCCGCCAGGGAACGCCCTGCCTCATCCTCTAACGGGGTGTTGGAGAGATCAATAAAACTTACCCGTGACTGAACGAGCGCCTCGCACAGCATAGAAATTGCCTCGTCACTCACGTTCACCCCATTTATCGTCAGTGCCTCTAGTGACAGGTTGTACTGCATCGCAACAGAGATGGAGTACACCTCGACATCGGTGAATGCGGCGGAAAAGTCGCTGAAGAGCATGACGGCGCGAATGGAGTTGTTTAGAATCTCCGACGTGAGGACGTTGATGTCATCCTCCCCGGGTCTCGTGTACTCGCTGTTGTGGCTTGCGTAGAAGGCCAGCGCACGCTCCAGCTGCCCCAGCGTAACGCCGTCGTCCACGGTGCCGGCCACAACCCGCTTGATCACCGCGGCAAGCTCCTCGTCCCCCATGACGCCTGTGCCCAGGGCATCCGACGCCGTTCGCTTGGCGCCCAGCACCCGCGGCTGTCGTCGCTCCGCCATCGCACCAGCTTCCCCTCCCCCGCTGCCGCGCCCTCCAACCGCTCCGCTCTTTCAACGCCGCGGTAAAGCGGGACGCCTGCGAAGCCACAGCCACCAAACCAAAGGGGGAGAGACAGAGCCAGAGCTGGGAAGCAGTGCGTCCTCCTCAGCGACGCAAGGTGAGGGGAAGAAGCAAGGCACAGAAGCAATAATATACACACATATAAAGGAAGGAAAGAAATAAAGGAAACAAACACTACAGCCGCAAAAGAGCAGAGAAAAAAGAAAAAAAAGGTAAACATCGCGGTGCCAAGGGGTCGCTATGGCGAGCACGGAACTGGACGTAGCGCACAAACAGACCCCGAAAATGCGTCCGCACGGAGGTCGTCCTCGAGCAACTTCAGAAAATCATCACGTGTGTGAAGCCTCAAGCCTTCGGCGCATTCGCGCCAGCAGGCGGATTCCTCGCGCAAAACGCAAAACGCCGCCGCGTACCAGCGCGCCGCCCACGCAGTTGCCGCATCCTCCAGCCCCACTTCACGCTGCAGGGCAACAAAGTCGTGAAGCGCCTCTTGATGCCTTGAGGTTCGGCAGTGCTCCTTGCAGACAGGCGTCGCCACCAAGCTCGTCGACTGGGGTGCCACCTCGCAGTCACAAAGGAGGCAGCATCCCTTGAGAAAAAAAAAGAGCAGCGGCGCCTCAACGAGAGAAAAGGACCCCGACGGTAGATGCGAGCAGTTTATAGACGTTTTGCCAGCAGACGCATCCTGCGAGAGCACGGCATCTAGCGGCACTGACAGCACCTCTACCGTGGGAGCTCGCTTGGCAGCATTCACTGCACGTTCGTGTTTCTTCTCCAAGGCAGCGCTAAATCGCTCCTTCCAGAGCTGTACCTGCCCGTTAGGGTCGCGGTATGCCCTCAGCAGCTCCATGTTGTGGCGCTTCCCCTGCGTGTGGCGCGTCCACATGGAAGCCCTAACCGTGGCATCGCACACCGAACAGTAGCCGTCCGCGCTGTACTCTTCCGCGCTGTCAAGGAGACTTCGCAAGCTCTCCGTGTCACCCTTGCGCTTCACGCCCTGTGCTGCGGCACGTGCCGCCTTGTGTTGTGGTGACGTGAGGTGCTGCATGACATCCTCCGCGGCGACGTACTCGACACAGGAGCAGCATACATTACCGTGCATAGGCCGCAGCAGCTCAGCCCACATCTCCCGCCTCACTCCTGCTGATTCCATTTGTGAGGCAGAAGATGTTGCAGTACGCAAGTTCCGCTGATGCCGCTTTGAAAGACGGTGCTTCTCCTGCTGCACTGGAACCACACAGAGACAAATGGAGCAAAATATGCCTTTAAGGAAATCCTCCGCGTGAGGTAATTCCTCGCGTATCATCGCCGGGACAGAAGGCACCGACGCCTCCTCTTTTCTACGGTGCCGGCGGCTGTCAAGGTGTTGTATAGCCTGGCGAAATTTACCACCCACATGCTGGCGGCAACGGAGGCAGTAATGCTCCCTCACCTCGCTCTCCAATGCACGGCGAAGAAGCGTGGCCGCCAAAACACAAGCCGCCGGCGCCGTCCGACGGAAGACGGTCTGTGCTGCTTCCCTCCACTTCACGTGCTTCTCTCCGTGTGTGTGCTGTGCTGCGTTGCCCGCGAGCCACACGTTGCAGAGAACGCAGAATTCATCTATTAGCCCGACAGAAACCTCATCCAGTGAGGCCCGCATACTCCATGCACGCGGGACCGCAAAAAGGGAGAGCACACCCTCTGCTCAGCGGCAGGGGGAAACGCGGCGGCCCAGCAACGTGCATGGCAAAGAAGGGGGGGGAAAGGGGAAATTAGTCACCGTGACGTCGCCCCCGAGCAGCCGTGAAAAGCGGCGGAGAGCGTTAAGAGTCCGTTGCACAAGCGATAGCGAGCCACACACACACACAGAGGGCCCGGAGGACAATAACATAGTAATAATAATCTTCAAAAAGGGGGCGAGTGAGTGGGTTCCACATACAATAAAATGAAGAAGAAAAAGAAAAAAAGAGAAAAAAAAAGGTGGGCCCAGGGAATGCGCAACACCTTCAACTCCATTATGCTCGCCAAGCCCGTGTCGTCATAGATGCAGCTCGCCTCTTTGCCTCCCATTTTGCTCCTTACGATGACGAATATATATATATATATATATATATATA